CATCATCTAATATGCAATTAGATGATAAAGGTTTAATAAGTGCTAGAAAAGAAGCGCCAAGGGATTTCGAGGTTCGATGCTCAGATTTTGTCCGTTGTCTTGCCACTTCTTTTCATTTGCTATCTTTTTGTCGCAATCTTGATTGTCTTTCTTGATCCGTTATTTTTGTAGCAATAGTACTTGCTATTGTGCATGTTTTTTTTCACCAACTTTCAAGATTTACTTTTTAATGTTTTTCCCTGTTAATGCTTTTTTATTGCTCTTGATTGGTTTGTGTGTTTTCCCAAAAACTCTTATCCATTGAGTGTTACATTTTGTTTGATCTTTTCAGAGTCCATTGTAATGAGATTTGTATTACATTGGAAACATTTAATGGCAAAATGATACCTTCAATTTGGATAATACACTTATCTATCAGTGAGCCGATTGGATTTTAACGATGCATACTTATTTATTGATAAACATTCAACTATCATCGACTGTTTTATTGGTAAAGAATCAGATTTGCACAAAATTTACGTTTAAAGTTGATTTTGATATCAACTGTACATTTAGTGACACCTGGTTGCTGTGTTTAGAATTGCCTTTCAATGGTTAAACATTTTGAATTGAGCTTGCAAAAATGTATTTAAGTTTATCATTTTATTGGAAAAGCGTTCATTTTAGGTTGATGAAAATCAACAAACAGCTAACGATTTGAGACTCTTTTTGTGATTTTTAACATATTTTCTTACAATAATCTCGACATTGGTCACATTTGAAAAGGAAATTGTAATGTTACGATATCTTTTGGCCATTACTCGGCTCTAGAATGACCTATTGACTTTAAAATTTTCTAAGCTGAAATGACTCTTTTCTTTTGTTAGAGAATCAAAAATTTGATTAAAACTTTGATGAAAGATTTCATGGTCTTTCATTATTTGGACAAGCAGTAAGAGATTTCTAATTGATACCAGATTTTTCAATGTTTGAGTGAGTTAAGATGGAATTAGAAATGACCATTAGTAAATCAATTGGAATTAGCTGTCAAATTAGCGCAACAATCGATAATTAAATGTCATTTTTCTTGATTTTTCTTCCATCTACTCAGCTTTCTTACATTAAACTAACAGCAAATTCAACCATCGTTTAATTCAATCGAAATCTCTTTTTTTCATCAATAGTTTTTTTACAAAAGTAGCTAAAAACAGGAACTCTAATTACAACATGAGGACAGAGTTTTGTTTGATTTCAATCGAAATGTTCGGGGTGCTTTCATTAGAGATTTAAGTAATCTCAAGATAAACTAGTTACTTATATGGCATTTTTTACAGTAATCGAGGGATTTGGTCGGTGCTGGACGATGGAGGCTAGGCTCCAGCACAAGTGTGCTATTGTCAGCCATTTTTTATTACTGCCGACTAGCAAGCCATTAAGTTATTACATTGAGTCCAACTATTGTGTAAATGTCGCAAGTGGCTAGTAGTTACATGTCAGCTAAAGGGGCACAAGCACAATTAGCTTTTAATGCACCACTTAGAGCTTCTGTCTTTAGCCGTTTAGCTTTCAAATTTAAGTCTCGTAAAAAATCAAAATTAGCCTTTGGAGCTAGACTTCAAAATTAGCTCTGATGCTAAAGTTTAATGACATTTAGCCTTTGTCTAGCTTTGTGAATCTGTGAATCGAATATGTGAGGTCATATTACAGCTAACATCTATTTTGTTTACCTGCATCAAGTATGAAATCAGAAACAAACTTTCTGTCGCAGGCAACAGATTAACCAAAAAACGAATGAGTTTGTTAATTGAATCGGCCAAGTCATTGATTTCAAATAAATCTTATGCAAAATTACTGGATTTTTAATCTTAAATTAGACTTAAATCTAGACTTTAGTTCACTTCTAAAAGGCCAAAGTCTGCAACTGAAGGTCAAAATTTTTCAAAAGATCAACAGCTAAAGCGAAAGTCTAATGTCTAATCATTTAGCTCTAAAACTTAAACTTATAGAAGCTCTAGCGCCACCTAGCCTTTGATGATGAAACTTGGTGCATCTCACAAGTCTAAATATGCTGCCATCTACTATCATTGAAACAAACTGATTTCAACTATTAACATTGTGTAATCTGAATCTGAATGGTTTGTATGGTGATTAAGTAATCTGTATTTAGCATCGTTCATGCAAGTTAAAATAAATTAGATGCTAAATAATCTTAAAGTAAACTTTATTTTAAAGTTGATAAGAGTTGATTGAAAAAAGTGTTTCTCCAATTAGCTGGTGATTTCAATAAAAATGATATTTTGTTTAACAAAAAGTTTGATATTAAATTATGTATAAAATGGCAGCTATTCGCAGTAGCAGCGACTGTACTTTCCAGCTGGAGGATAATTTGCTTTATACTGAGCTGGAGTTATAGGCACTGGTCTGTTTCCTCCTTTAATGGCACCTGATTTCACTTGTTGAGTGACAACAATCGGTGATCCTCCTTTAACCTCTACTTGTCTGATTGGAGCAGTTTTACTCGAGACACTTGAAGAGTAGCGCGCTCGGACAGCGTCTGCTGGACTGTAAAGTGTTTTCGTATTGTACTCTTCTCGTTGGACTGACTTTGTGGATGGCGTGGTAGGAACTGCGACGATCTTAGATGATTTAAGAGCTGCAATTCGAGCGGCTGGAGACTGAGGATATGAAAATCGAGATGAAACTTTTGACGAGTCAATGGCTGTAAAAGATAACAAAAGTATAAATTACTAACACAGAATAGAAAGAAAGGTTGAAAAAAATTTCAGAGCTGGATCAGCGCTCAGGAAAACAGAAATAAAAAAGTGAATCGAACCAAAACCTCTCTGAATTTTCCAAAAAATCGCTCCATTTTTTGACTTACCCTCAAATCTTGCGAACAAAATTGTATTTGAAAATCAGCAATTTAGTCTATTTTTAAGTTGGAACTTTTCAATCAAGAAACTGAATAAGAAAAAAATTTTCGATCCAACATCTCAGTAATTTTGGTTGATCCTGAAATTTGTTGACAATGTTCGTTTCACCTTTTAATCTTTGTGCATCGAAAATATCAGATTATTCAGTTGAAGATAAAGCTAACAAAAGGAATGAATCAGCAAGTTTTAAGCTGATTCGTAAAAGTGAATGAAAAGATTGAAAATAAAATTTCAATTGAACCAGTAGTTCAGAGCATTTGGAACTTGAATGTCACGAGATTGTGAAATTGTATCTTTCTCCATGAGAAGTTCATTAGTTTCAACTCTTCTCTTATTCAACTCATTTCTCTGCTTTCCTCTAATATTATTGATCATTGTTGAGATATTTTTAGTTAAGATATAATTCACTTATAAGGAAATAACTTTTTCTGTGTCACATTATTATTCCAATCATAAACTCACAGATAAACTCATTTTTTGTTTCTCTCTTTCTCTCGCTTCTCCTGATCCAGTGTCCATGAGATCAAATTAACTGAGTCAAGTGCACTTGAAACCTAAATAACATTGAATTCCATGTTATCCCTTTATCATTGATTCTCAATTTTGAAATCCTTTACATTCTACCTTTATCAGTTTGACCAGTTTTCCTTTCAATTTTCTTCTTTTTACCTTTTCCATGTTCACTCAATTCCGACCGATTCTTTAATGTATTCAGAAGCAAAATTTTCAAACCTCATAAATCAGACGAATAGCTTGAAGCAATAAGTCTCTGCATTTTCATCTCATTTCGTCTGCAAGTTTGACCAAAATTTTCAACTGAAACTTATTATGAGATTCATCTTGTTAGACAAGAAATGGTCAAGACTGTGAATCGAATGAAAAAATGAACATTTGAATTGGAAATTTAATTTTTCCTGTTATTCGGCCAATGATTGATGTCACTTTTATCCAGACTCATTAAAATGTCAAATTCGTCTTTTGTAAAGTTCATTATTTGAATCAATGAATAATCTAATTTTAAGTCTTGCATTGGTTCATCAAACTGAAATGTGGAAACAAAAGGTTGCTAAATCCTTTTACGAACATCGCCAACGCACGGTAAACTGATGATGTTTAATCATGAATGAATCAGAAAAGTATAAAAAGACAGAATCAACTAAATCGATCTTGAAGCGGCAAACCCGAAAAGAACCTTCGAAAAAGAAATTTTTACCTTGGCTGAAAAATCTTGAAAATGAACTGAAATGTTTGTTTACAAATTGTACCATTAGACTGATTGAAATTCATTTCATATTTGATTGCAATCCTGTTTCGATCTACCTGAAAATTCTATTATCATGAGAATATTGAAATATTATGTATTCAGTAATTCAATATTGAATATCAAATGTTGTGCTATTCAATGGTCACGATGAATCAGATTCATTTCGATAAACAACTAAACCAACAATTTTTGCTCATCTTATTTAGATTTACTTGGAACTGAAACGAGTGAAAAAGCAAATAAAAGTGAAATGTTGAGAAGAAAAAGAAATGAAATTCTAAAAATGATTTCCTTTCATGTTCGTTATTCAATCAGTTGAAAAGTTTTTTTTCTCCAAGACTCATCCATCAACGCGAAAATCATCTTCTCAAATGACGATATTTTAATGGATTTATCAAGAACAAGATAAACTTTGGAAAATGAAAGTTGCAATATTTTTCGCATTTTTCAGTTCAATGTAAATAGTGACCTTCTCGAGTTGAAAAGATGCAAAACTTAATGCAATCATTCAGGGTTTCCTTTTATTTCCATGTAACAAGAGGAAACAAAGGCTCTCGGTAAAACCCTTTGATTATGCTAATATCAAGAGACAATTGTAATTGTTCAAAATCAACTTGAATAATGTTAATCTGGAATTCAATTTTTCTTTCTTTTTCTTTGCTTTTCTTTTTGCCTTCCCAAAATAGCTAAAGACGAGAGAAAAATTGTTTTTGAATAAGATTATTTGAAACTATCAGTGTTATCGTCAAGCTGAAATTTGATTATATTAAAAAAAGAGAATCTGGAAAAAATCGAAAGATTACATGGAATTTGTTTGTCGTACTTTTCCAATTTACTTGATTGAATAAATTTGTTGACATTTAGGCTTATTCGAGTTGAATGTCTAGTTTCATTTCGAGATTACTTTTCTTTTCAATTTTTTATTTCACTTTCCTCATGTTCTCTCACCGAATCCATCTTGAATTGATAAACGGAAACTCACCTTCATATGGAGCTTTCAAGGGTTCCTTAACTGCTTGAACCGAGGCTGGCGGTGAAACGGGTTGAGGGATATCAGGACCCCATGCTTGATACCCATTGCTTCCAGATGAATAGTAAACCAACCTCAATTTACCTTCAGGATCAGTGTAACCGTATTTACCTCGAACTACTCCAGATTCGTCTTTGGATTCTTGATGAAACTGATGGGCACCCGATGATCCAGTATCGTAACCAAACTTGTAAGATCCTTTTTCACTTTGGGAATGATATTGAATGGGATTGTCATCAAAATCATCACAAGCAACTAGACCAAAAAGGATCACCAAAAAATGTATCCACAACTTGATGAGCAAAAAGAGATAAAAATTGCGAATAAGAAGTGATGATAATATTGTCGAGGAAACAAAACATGAATCAGAATAATTAGCAGTTTACATGTAAATTCAATTAACAACAGTTTTGGAAAACATTGTTATTTAATAGAACAGGGAAAGAGGAAAAAAGAAAAAAGTGGGAAAAGAGAAAAGAAAAAAAATGAAAAAGATAATGGAATAATGAACTTTCGTTGAAACATACCATTTTCATTACAATTAGTCGAGTCTTGATGGTAATAACAAAAGTGAAAAAATGGAAACTAAAAGTTTACTCAATGAATTTATGATTAGCGGTTACACTCTATACTTTGAATGTGTTCAAGTTGTGATTTGGATAAAATAAATAGTCGATGAAATGAAGTAGCAACAGTATATTAGTATTTGTTTTTGTGGGCGATGCAAACAAACGTAACGAACTTCACCTCGAAGGTAAAGATTAGCTGTTGTTTGTCTTGGAAAGGCCTCAGATGAATGTAGGCGAATTTACCATAAAAAAGGTGGTTCCTTTCTTATGGATAAGAGTAAGAAAAGAAAGAGAGAAAAGACGAAGATGATGAAAAAAGATGATTTGTAAACGTAAATGAAAAATCATTCAGAGATGAATTGAGCTTAACCTTGAAACTACCTTTCAAGAGTCAATTTCTGTACGCCTTTTCATTCATCTCTTTGTCATCCAAATGGCGATGAATTTTCAATCCTAGGGATAATTCAATTTAACATGGCTTTTTGTACGCTTCCATCCACGCATCTTATGATTGAGAAATGCTTTGGATTCGCTTGCACCATTAGCCTCGGGATAGCTTCACTCACTGGCTAATTTAGCCTGTCCAATCAATGGTTCATCAGCTTGAGTGAATATGGTTGCAACCTTGAAAGTGGATTTTACCAGCAAAGCAATGGAAGTGTGTTTATGGAATGGCCAGGTGAAGAGTAAAGATTGATTTGGGCACAAATGAACATCACAATAATTGAACTTTTTTCACTTTTCCCTTCAATTTCTTTCTCTCTTTACCTTATTTTTGATAATTGAATAAAGTCACTCAGAATGGGTTGAAATTTTTCTGGTTTTCACTTGTCTTTAAACTTTTGTTTTCTTCAAGTTTAGTGATTTATTTTCAAGACTTTAGCTTGACAGAACTTAATTCTTTTTTCTTCGTTTCTCAGAGTTTTCCTTTAGATTCCATGACAACAAATCAACACAATTGATGCAAACATCAAACATGAAGAATATATCACAGGGAGCCAAAGGTAAATACAGAATGATTAAGGTTGATTCTTTTTTTTCCTTTATCTTCAGATCATTTTCCTTCTCTACTCATCTCAAATTGAATTCATGAGATTCCGTTGTTTCTTCTACAATTTTTTTCCATTCACCTTTTGATTTACTATTTTCAATCATGGCTTATTTCATTTTGCTGTTTTCTTCAAGTCAATTGAATTCTCATCAACTTTATCTAACTTTCACTGTTTACAGCTTAAATCTACTATTGTTTAGACTTTGAGCTAATAAAAAGTTGATCGAAAAGTCTAGTTGGTATTAACCGTTGAAAGATTGAAAATTTACAGTGAACAATTCAAGAGCAATTTCTGGAAACGTTAACATGAAAAGTTTTTTCAACCTAATCTTAATTAAACAAACCTTTAGAAAACAGGAAAAGAATTTTAAGCCTTGGTTGACTCATTCCATTGATATTCAAGGATTTGCGAAGGTTTGGAATGAAGTTTGTGAATCTTATTTACTTTCCGTTTTTCTTATCATTCAATTGATCTGATGTAATTTTAGTGATAGGTTAACACACTGTGGATTACCATAGTTGTTCATTTTTTATTTGACGAACAATTGAACCTTCGATGAAAACAGGAATCAGTACTGAAGGCTAGTACAATTTATCTTTTTCAGAATTGTGTTACTTTTCCTTTTTCATATTTTATCTCAATGATTCTCAGTTTCATCAGAAGTTGTGTGTTTCCGGTACAAACGAAAAAATATGAAAAGCGTATTTGTGAGGTGGTATTGCAAGCTAACGCTGTAAGTATCACTTAAAGAAAATGTATAAATAATCCCACATATTAATGATTCAGAAATTATGAGCTGCCACTGAGTAAGTTTAGATATTTCATGAATTAAAAATGAAAAGTTGATTTGATTCGGAAAACCATTATACAGGCCATTATACATTATATCATTATATCATTATACCATAAGTACACTTCGCCTCGCTCAGACTAAATATACCGGGTATTTATCCTTTTACGTCTGTTTGTAGCCATAACTCGCGAACGGTTTATGTTACAGACCTCAGTATCGAACCATAAGCTTCCGTGGATTGATGAACCTTAAGTTCAAGGTGATTCAAGGCAAATCCTATTCGAACTTTTGAAGGTCATTTTAAGAGTGAAAAATTTTCAGATTGGTTGATTTTTTAAAAAACAAAATTTTAAACCGTTGTAAAGATTGAAAAATTTTACTAAAACCAATTAATTAACTCAACGATATGAAAACACGCATTTCTTTTGGCCAGCATGAGTTAGAGAGATGTAACCAGCAGACTGGTCTGAAAAATTTGCAACTCTCAGATACCTCCAAATGTAGTTTGAGGTCGAATAATGAAACAACCATGAACGACCTTGATCGTTTGAACTATAGCTTTTCAATTTGCAGAAGCTTATAGTTTAAAACTGAGGTCAGTATTAGTATTTATATGCCATTTTTACATTTTACTTCTGTTTACAGTAATGCACCAACGATTAATCCCACATACCTTACAAGGGAAGGTTAATCTCTGTTTGGTTCATCATTTGTTAGGGTCAGCACATAGAATGCAAATTCACCTATCGACCGTACAAACCACATTAGGTATGATATCTCAGCATGAAATTAATTCCTTCGATACTTCGTATTCCGGAATGGCCAAGTTCATGATTAGTTATGGTGGGAAACACTCTTATCATGGCAACATTTTCGCTCATGATTGCTCTAATTCTTCGAGACCGATCTAACGAAGTTAAAAAATAACTCATTTCAATGATTAGTATAATTTATTTACTTGAAGAACTGATATAATACCAGGCGTTTTTTCATTTAACCCCTGTTTGTAGGCATGCCTCATGAAAGGTTGATGCTACAGATCTCAGACTTGAACTATGAGCTTTCGCAGATTGCACAACCATAAATTCCAATGCTCTAGGTCATTCAAGGATAAACCGATGACCTCTAAATGACATTTGAAGGTAAATTTTTGATAGAGCAAATTTTTTCAAGCTCAAGAAGGTGAATCAAGCTGTGCAATTAGTCCTACACACCCAGGCATGCCTCACGAAGGGTTAGTGCTACAGACCTCAGTGTTGCATTATGAGCTTATGGTGATTGAACAACCATAAGTTCGAACGCACAAGGTTATTCAAGGTCAATTCTTTATTTGACCTCAAATTGACATTGGACGGGCATTTTCTGAAACCGGAAAGATTTCAGATCGATAAACGCTAGTCACATGTTCATAACTCATACTGATATCATACTAGCTAAAGGATATGGGTGATTCCATACTGTTCAGTTAATCAATTACATTTATGAAAAATTCATTCATCTTTCCAATGGTAAGAGTTATTATGTAAATCACAAAATCTGAAAATCGGGCCGATTTGGCTATTGTCTTTTCAATTACAACAAGATATTTGAAATGAAGGTTCGTATCTGAGGCCAGTTGCATCAACCGTTCGTGAATTATAATCACAAGAAGGCAGAAAAACGACCATTACATTTAACTTATTGGCAAAACCTTGAAATTCATGAGATCATTAAATAGGAGAAAAACAGCGGAACAATTCCAAATAAAGTTAATGAAGAGATAATTCCGATAGAAAAATGAAAGTTTGTAAATAACAATAAAAATTGTCAGAACATTTTAAAGTTTTGTAATTGAATTGGAAAAAATTGTGCAGATTGACTCTAAAGTACTTCACAATTTAACGTAATAATGTATCCATCAAAAGAAATGGACATCAGTATATTAGGCTTATTTTATTTTATCTCAATTTTTTAAAATTTTGACAGAATTGAACAAAGAAATCATTTTATGCTTCACATAAGAATCATAAGAGAAAGTTCAATAATAGCAGGTTCACTGTTATATTTCTCAGGCAATCATCATCATCTTTTTGCTCATTTCTTTACAAATTTTGAGAAACATTTATTTTATGGTTTTATTGCAAGCAAAATTGTCCATTATGCAAGTTGAAACAAATGTTACAGGTAAACGGACAAGGAAACAATTTTAAACATCGAATCGAAGAGTTTTTCAGCTTAACTGAAGTCCAGTTCAGAAATTTGATTGTAAATCCTGATACAGTTCCGTGGATTGACTTTCAATTTTCCTCCGAATCATTCCATTACTGTGCAGAAAATCCAAATATGCAAAATGAAGTCGGACAGCTCACTAAAAGTAGTCTGGAAATACATCATGAAACTGGTCAACATGATGAATGTGAATTCACGAAGTGGAAAAAATTTACATGAAAAGCGAATCCATCCAGTCTTAGAACATTTGAATTTGTCTGAATTATGCATGATGAACTTTAGCAAAAAGTTAATCAAATTTTTCAAACTTTATTCTTTGAAGCCATTTCATTACATTTGGAATGAATGAATCATAAAAAACCCGAGTGATTCACTTTCTTGCAATAAAAAGTTCATGTTGTTCCTTCTAATTGTTTCATCACAATTCAAGTTGAACATTATCCTTACAATAATAACTTTATTTTCTCATCATTTTTATTTCTATTATTGTCATTATCATTATTATTTTCGGCCTTTTCGGACATTATTACTATTATTATCATTGTTATTATTGTCTATTAACATTCCATGTGTTGTACAGTTAACAAAGATTAAGTTAATTTCATTTTATTGGATTAGGCCGAGTAAGTCTATTGATGATTACAAGTAAAACTATCAAAGAACCATTCAATTTCCAGGTAAACCAGAATATCATTTACCCTGTGAATGGAAATGAAATTTTGCTTCAACTCCCTTTTGGGTGGAGATAAGAAGAGTAAAGACGAGTAAAATGTGAATTAATAGCGATTGAATTTAATAGAAATGGCAATGAAAAGATAAATGGGATACACAAAAAAACGCAATTAAATGTGTAAAGTTTTATCGATTATATTAATGAATATTTTGGTGTTTCTTCACTTGGATATCGATCAACCGTTTGATAATGAAAAACATGGTTAAACTTAATTATGGTTAATTGGTTCGAGTTGACATTAATTAACGTCAAAAGGTTATCAAGGTGTATCAACTGTTGAGAATCTAAATTATCTTGCAAGAACTGATGAATGAGAAGCAAGAAGAAAAATTCATTTTCGTCTTGTTCATTATTATGCTAACAGGATTAAGTTATATCAAGTGAATCAAGAAACATTGAATTAAACTCTAATTAATTAAGTTTTTACATTTCACTCATAACAGTAAATAAACTCGACTTAACCTTTGCAACAATCGTTTTTGGGAGGAAAATAAAGTTCCAAAGACAATTCTATTAATAGAAAGAGAAAAGTCATGAAAAATGTTTGCAATGAAATTTTCAGTTTCAATGGAAACCTCAAAGGAGTTGAAAAGCTCGCTGAAAAATTTAATCACAGATGCAAAGTTTTGTCGAGTAAAAAAAGAGTTTTTCAAGACAAATCGATTCATGATTCATGTTGATGTCAGTTGATGATTCAGTCAACATTGATTATCAATTTCAAGTCTAACTCGAACGGTAAATGTCGACATTGAATCGTCAGAGAGGCAAAAATGATCACAAGCATTTGAACAAATGACAAAGGAAAAATTACTGTTATTTGATTCTGCCTTTTGCTACTTTTAACTCCAAGTTTTTTTGCTTGTTTGCGCATTCCTTGTGACTCACGAAGAGAGCTGTTCAAGATCAACCTGTGGACAGCATTGCACTAGCAATTCAGTTTTCATCCTGAATAGAACACTCATCAATCAGATTAAATGGGTGAACCAAAAATTGTACTTTTTCCCTTTTCCATTGTTGTGACACCTTGAAACAGCCAATGGATAATTCAAGGAAAAAAAGTTATCACAAGAAAAATATTTTTCACTCCCAGCTTTAATAGTGTTTTCCAAGTTTTTCGTTATTCATTCTTCGTCAGCAGATTCGCGACAAGAAAAGTGATTAATAAAATGTTTCAACATCGTCTAGATTTTGTTTCATCGGTTACCACAAGCCAATGTCCATGACTTTTGATAACGTTTTCATTTCATTCCCTGGAGAGATAACAATTGTCAGCATCCTGATTATATCCTTGGATAGGTTCTGATAAAGTTGATAAAAAACAACAAAAGTACAAAAAGAAAACATTGTCATTGCAACTTGGATTCCAAAGGGAAAATTCTGTCAACTGAATCCATCTTTGTAACAAACCAATTTTTTTCTCTTCTTTTTCTGTTTTTTTACTCTTTTTCAATCTTTTTTTCTTCTTCTACATTTGTGTCCAACGAATCCATTCTTGTGTTTCTACCTCATCATCATCACCATTGTGCAACCTTGTTTCTTCTCACCTTTTTGGTGTTTCATCCTTTTCTTGTTTTGCTGTTGTTACTAGTTTTTTTTATTTATATTCAATTCTGCCAATGGAATTTTGTTTACCATGAAAAATTCTTCCAGTATATTGGACCATCGAAACTTGGACAACCTATTGGTCTCTCGCAACCTCAATGCTTCACAGTTTCCTTCAGGTTCAGTTAACCTTTCAACTGGACCATTGGATAGTACATCAACTTGGTGGCGTTCAACCTTTTTCCCTGATGATTATGTTCCTGAAGATATTGAACCCCGTGACATGATAACTCGAATCATTGGTGTCATCATTGGATGCCTAATAATTGTGGGAACACTTTTTGGCAATATTCTTGTAATAATGGTTGTTCATAAATATCGTCGTATGAAATCAATAACCAACATTTTACTTGCCAGGTAATTAGAAAATTTTTCGAAAAAAAAGTTATCAGATTTTTGCTACACTCGATTATTTTCAACTTTACAAATCATCTCTTGTTGTTGTAACAATGTTGCTGCAGATCTCAACTCTATGTGAAAAGCATTTAAAATTAGTGTGAAAAAATGTTTTCCATTTCAAGTTTACTGTTGAAATTTCATTGCAAAAGTCAGTCCATAAATTGAATCAGCAAAACTTTCCAGTTGCCATGAAATCCATTTCATCTTCTGGAGGAAAAAGAAGAAAAATGAACTCTAATTTTCTCGTAATCTGTTGAACTTTTATTTTCTTTTCTTTTTTCGCTCTTCTTGTCTCGATTATTAATTTTCTCAATCATTTTTTTCTTCTTCTTCTCACCTTATCCAAGACTTGAAGTTTCCATCAACCGTTGCTTCATTTTCAACTTATCAGATCATGATTATGTTTTCAGTTTTTGCGAAAATTTTGACAACTTACAGGTGAGAAAAAAAGATAAGAGAAGCGAGAAAAAAAAGAAAGTAAAAGAGGCAAAAGTCAAGGTGTATTAACACGCAAATTCCAGTCAATCTCATGTAATGCTGTTGATGGTGAAATTTTGATTATCCATTTAGTTGTTGTTTGTCTCATGAAAAGGTTGACAAAATTATGCATAATAAAAGTGTCATTTTTTAAGAGAAAAATATTTTCCATCATTTTTTCTTCATTTCATTCCATGAGCAACTTTGCAATTTCGCAGCTTCTCAAGTTGTTTATTCCGTCGTCAATCATTCATTACTTGTTCATTTTTTATATTCCTTGTTGATCTTGTTGCTTCACCAACTGAAGAGTTCATTTTGTGGTTCAACTATCAATGTTACTCAATCAGTGATTCGAGTTTTTTATCCATTTTATCTTCGAAAGGAACCGAACGGAAAGACAACTTTTTTTTACCTTCCATGGTTGTTTCACTTTTTTGCTGATTTTTTTCTTCTTCTGCTTCAGCTTCTTTTTACTTTCTTTAGCCTTTCATCTTTAACGATATTCATCATTGAAATATCTTTTAACCTTGTTGTTCCTCTTTTTGATCAGTAACATTTTGCATCATTATTATTCACCAAATGTGATACAAAATATGCTTCATTGCCTGTAATCTGTTGTTTTTTGCTTTTCCTTCTTTAACCTCTTTTCTGCTTTCAGAAAATTCTGTATCTTTTACAGTTCCCATTCCAACCATTTTACTTTCATGTTTTATACGCATTTTTGCTCTCTTTATATTCACAACTTCCCTGCTGATGATAGTAATGCTTCTGTTAATGCCAAATAAAAGAATGGCAAAAAAAATAAATGCTGATGATGAACAAGATGCTAAAGGGTATTATTGCTTTGTTGCTGTTTTTTGTCAAATTTACACAATATTCACCAAAAATATTTTACGAATTTCAAATTTCCTTTTTCTGTCGTAAAATTCCCCTTTTCTCATTGTCATGATTTCCACCTTAAATTGCTTTGGGCGCACAAAGTCAAATTTTTGTCTAAGAATAATTTCTATTTGATTTTTTTTCATGGGATTATCCGGCTTTGAGTTTAGATATTACAGTTTAACATAAGTGAGTCGTTAGACTTTGATTTCACAATTTTGTGGCTCATGCAGGTTGAAGTAAACATGTTGAAATGCAGTTCTGTAATCATCTGAAAAAAGCTCGAAGGGATTAGAAATTTTCTAAAAATATTCTGCAGATTCGATCAGATTTCTTGGATTTGCATTTCTGAGATCAATTTAACTTTGATTGCTAATTGATTGCCACAATTAAACAAACTTTTATCGAGATAATAATCTGTGTTCAGTTTCGAAACTCGACTCGAATTTCGACTCTTTTCGTAATCCAAGGCCTTTCTTGGCAAGATCAAGATACTCATTTCTAGCATCAAATCGAAGGCTGAATATTTCTTGATCCGTTTATTTCTGAATTCTTGAGTTCTTAATAGTTTTGCAATCAATCGGCTTAAATTTTTGTTCCTACTTTTGGTTCGCCGTTTACTTCAAGATAATCCTTGATAATGGTATCATTGCTCTCGTTAGGAGTGAGCCTAGGAATAAAAAAGACTCAAGTGTAAGCTCATGCTGGATGCTCATGTAATGTGCTTAACTATAACTGTACTGGAACAGGCGAGTCTCATGAGAATGAATAAGAGGTTTGGAGCAACTTTTGTTTCTTTCCCTCGTCTTTAAGATGATAATACTCGACTCTAGTTTGTGAACATTAATGAGAGATTTATTGGTCAAAGATCTTGACAAGAGTGAAAATGGTACAATTAACTAGATAATAACAAGTCGAAATTGAGATAATTATCGATTAAAAATTGTTGTTACAGGAAATAGGTTAATGGTACAAAAATTTATCCGGAAATTGTTTGCCCAGTTGAGCGATGATTCATTTTTCACTGACCATTTATCCTGATATCATACTTGTATCTCTGGTCCACTTCAACTCTTGATTTTCTTTGCCCTTCAGATTGATCACAGAAATGATTAAAACGTTCATTAGTCAAAGGTCAAAATTGGTATACATTAGAATCGCAAATTACCTTGAATGGATCATTTAATTTGTTTCATTTTTTTGTTCTTTTCGTTATTAATCATTTTGCAATTTATTTTCTCTTTCAACTCGACAAAATCAAATAAGCATTTTCCTTGAGCAGAATCCATCATTTCACTATTTAAATGGATTCCCATCATGGGTAACCTTGTGGTCAACGAAGCCATTACAAAAGGACCATTTGATTGGCTCTTAATTGCACTTGAATCATTTCGTCTCTAAATTGTTCTCTTGATCTTTACCTTTTTGACTTTCGTTTATTCACCAAAGCAGATTAATAATGCAATGTCAACCATCCTTCAACATCCATGAGATTAATTTTAATCACTGAGAAAACAATGAACCCATTGAAGCGAAATGATGAAACCCATAACTCTTTCAAATCTTTCTCTTTTCCTTCGACTTTTCATGTTTCTTCCCAAGGAATTCATTTTCACATTCTTCAAGTTTTACTCTCAGTCCAGTTTCTGGAGTAAAAATGGTGAAAACATTTTCTCCTTTTGTATATGACAACTGAAAAACTATTAAATACAGAAACCTTGAGAATTGTTGCGAGAAAAGTTTCTTTTCAAATCATGTTTGGTCATGATGATCATGATGATCATGGCTGGTGCAAGATAAAAGAACAGTTTCATGTTCTTTTTGCTACTTTCTCAACATTTTTCTATTCACATTGCAATTGAATAAAGCAGAGTCAATGAGAATTGGCTGGATGCGAATATCCGGTTCATCATTGATTGAACTGTACAACACTTCCGATTCTTAACCGCTTGCTTTTTCCTCTTTACTTCTTCTTCTTCTTCCCCAAATGCTTATTCAATTCAGTCTGAGTTTTACTTTGTTCTTGCCACCAAAAGTGGTTTTCAATCAAAGGTTTAAGATAGATTATTGTTCAAGATTTAATCTGATTTACATGCAATTCTCGAGCTTCTGGTTTTTTTGCTCTCAAAGAAGAGAGCAAAATATCAAAACATATTCTTGATGCAAAACAGAAGCGACAAAAAACATTGACAAATACTTAAGGAATGATAAGCCTACTCAGCATCGATTATGCTTCACTTTGTCATGTTTAACCTTTTGCCTTATCGTTGCAAAGTCATTACATCGGTTAGTCGAGTACATTTTCACTGGCAGTAATGATGATTCCCTTCGAAATGATTCAACTCCAATCGAACATTTCACTCTATAATTCCCTCTCTATTCATAGTTACAATGAAACATCCATTAACTTTTTATTTAGCAAAAAATGTTGAAATTTTCCACTGATTCTTGATTTCATTTCAATTTCCCGATGAATGAATGAAGCTACATGCAGACTTGAAAAGTTTCAAAACATTTTTCTTTCTCTTCTCATCCTCTTTGAAATTTACTTTTATTGCTAACAAATTTACCTTATCAGTGTCCTTATTAAGTACCAACTCGAGATATTAATAAAAATGAACTTATGATATTTTTATTGAAAAAGAAGAAAAAAGTAAGAAAAAAAACAATTATTTTCTCTTGATATTACATTTTTTATCCAATGATAAACTCATGATTGGATATGGTTTATCATTATTGTACTCGGAATGAACCAACATTTGGAAAATTGAAGAAGAGCAAAAAATGAGTTTCTTATCGATTCCATGTTAACAAGTTCCATAGGAATTCCAATGAACTTGGCAAATCATCATTTCTCATTCTTATTTCTTATCGTTTCTATCGTCTCTTTATTTCGCCTTCCCTTCATCTCCTAATGAGATGTAATTCCGAGGGAACAAAAGGCGTTCATCTATTGTCACAAGTCAAAGCCATTTTTTGTCACATTTGTAAATCTCATTTTGAACGAATTTTTAAAGAAAAGAAAAAAATGGAAAAAGAAGAAAAAAGGAAAAAATATCTTTTCGATTTTTTCTTTAATGGAAACTGCTCACGATATTAAAGTTGCACAGTAAAATAATATTCATAATTATCATATTGAGAATCACAAAATCGTAATCAACTTAATGATATTTTTACCTTTCAATTGGCCTTGATTTTTCCTTTTCCATTCACATTTACAAGTTTCATGACAAGTTGATGAAAATGGTAATGAAATTCAGAGACTCGAAAAAAAAGAAGAGTTTCACGTCAATTATTTCCATTTCAAGTGATAATGATAATTGTACAGGTAATGTCTTTGTTGATCATTTACATGAATTATCTTGTTTCATTTTTCCCTGCATTTGCCTCCCTCAATGTTTCCATCAATCGACTGATCGACCCAGTTGCTTGTGCAGTTTAAATCATTAATTTCAGTGACTATTCACTTGGTCGATTGACCCACATTTTTACCTCTAAATTTGCCTTCTTTCATCAGTTTCAAATTGCATCTGAAAAATTTGATTCAATTATCCAACAATAATGAGCAAATCTCCATAAATCAATGAGAAACAAACTGGTTT